ATGTACTATATAAAGGGGACCCATAATTCATCAATGGCTGTCTGATGGGGGTACCCATAACTCATCGTCGGCTATATAAAGGGGTACCCATAAACTTCCATAGGCTACATATTATGGGTACACATAAGCCATTATCTAGCATATATTGGGGTATACTAACATTTCATGGACTATATATTGGGCGTACTCATTAGTCATCATCATCTACTGCATAACAGCAATAGACAACTTTTCGGTCGGTGCGAAAAATGCTCATATCTAGCGAAAGAATGTGGTCCAGGTCAAAAATGCTTTTCCCTTTCCTTTCTGTGTATACATTAGTATGGAAGTGTTAGATCAAACGATAATGTTATGATGTTATTATAGAATATAAGAGGACTTACCTTGATGTTCAGAAAATATGTGATCAGCTGAGGAGGGGATGTGAGATCGTTTTCGGATGGATAGTTTATTTCACGAAGACCAAAGCGCACACAAGAGAGGTAGTATTAAATGCTACTGCTCTCCACCAAAACAAAATAACAACTTTACGATATCAAAATCTGAAAAACTTCTAAAGAGAGAGATAGACAGAACGAAAAAGAAAAATTATACTATTGAACGAACGAAAGGGAAAAATTCAATTAACTACAGAACGAAAAGAAAGACACCAACAAATGAGAAAAAAAAGAAGAAGGAACCAATTGAACTTCGTTCAATTAAGTTAGCGTCGACATAGTGTCATCTGTTGACGCTAACAGGAAGATATTTATATGTATATATCGAGGTATTGTTTACATATGATCACAACGAAGGACAAAACGAATAAGATCGCAATTTCTTCGATCGCTAGTGTGCATTTGGATAATGCCTCCAATCCCTTTCATTCTTCACCCTCGTTATTCTAGATATTCATGGCTATTATTTTTACTGTTCTATCAGATTTTCGATCTTCTATTTCTATCATACACCTTATGGTTAGGTCAAAGCATTCATCCTAAGGATGCTAGTAGTTTTCATAGATATGCGATCATTTTTTCCATAGTCAGATTCTTTTTTTCCATTGAATTTCGTTTTTCTGCCGAGAAACGTATCATATAGTCTTATAAATCGAACTATTAGTTGTCTAGGTCAAAGTATTCTTCCTATGAATGGTAGTATTTTTCCAGTAAACTGATCGTTTCTCCCATAGATAGATTCATTTTTCCGCTGAAAAGTCTATGAGACCGGAAGGGTGTGAGTGTGGGTGATTGCAGACCCACACCGACACCCACACCCACACTCACACCCACCCACACCCACACCCACATCCACCCTCACCCACACCCCATACACCCACACACCCACACCCACCCTCACCCACGACTCACACACCCATACCCTACCAATATGACTTTAGAATCTCCAAAAATATATCCCACAGGTAATTGGCCATGCTCTGAAATATCGAATGACTTTAACCAAGACGGAAAAATCGATCTGGCAGTTATTAACTGAGACTCTAATAACATGTTTATTGTTCTTAATACATGTCAATAAATGAACTAAAAAACTGACTATACATATGAACAAAAAATGCTGTTATCTCTCGTTCTGGAGTAGTAAGCACATATTTGAAAGGTACATGAAAATGCATTTGTTAGGGCGAAATACGTCGCAATGTAGTTTTGAAACGAAATATCTATCTCTTACTATCTGTGAATTTCCCAACTATTACTCTAAATACTTTTTTTACGATCTTTGATCAATAAATAATATCTGCTGATAACAAGTGTCCAGAGACATTTTTTCTAAACACTCATTTAGTAAGAACCAAGATTTTATTCATTGAAAAGAATAAAAGATCAGCAGTGTAAAAATAGTCCAAATGGTCTAGTAGAAATTCTCGAGCTTTTTAATTGTCATCTTTTTGAAAATATTATTTGATAATTTCAAAAAAAATCCCTCACTTTCTATTAGCTTTCTCACAATCTCTTCCTGCATCAGCGTTAAAAACCTATTTTATAGGAAACAAATTAGTGCTTGTTAAAAAATTATTTACTCATTCAATTAATAGTACTTTTATCAGTAATCATTTTAATTTATTATGATGAAAACATCTTAGTTAAACTCTATATACATGGTTAGTGTAATTATTAGATTAGCCTTCATTTTATACCATACAGACGCAAAACTTCTGGTTTTAATGTGGACAAATAAAAAGAAAAAAGTTCTGGGAAATATATCATAAACATTACAAAAGATATAAAACAACTCATGAATAAACTAATTCAGTAGTCTATACATTTGCCATTAGCTGCAATATATTTTTATATCCGTTATGGCATCGAAAAAACTAGTTTTCACATAATTTCGGCTTTATTGATTACCACGCAGTTGTCAAACCTTCAATTAATTTCTTTCGGCATAAAATTTGTTTGGATTTTAATTTATCACTTATAATGAACCATAAATGCTTGATCGAATTAAGTTTGGGACTTTTATCCGTCCATTTTGATACTTTAACATTTAATTCGTGCAGTTTTGTTTTAGTTTGTCTTGACGCATAAAATCAGACGCTGTCATTTTGGTAAAGATGGTTATTTTTCATTTGATATGGCTGAAATATCGGAACTCAATAATTGTCTAAAATATCACAATAAATATCGCTATTGATATTTTCATTGTGAATTAGAAGACAACAAGTACTCGTGGAAGTAATAACACTGAAAAAAGCTAATTTGAGAATCAGCGCATCCATTCATGTAATCTACATACAGCTTTATTTCCATCGTTCACGTTTTGTACGCCATATTTTAGCTTCATTTTCATGTTTTATGATGTAAAATATTGATTCATCCCTCAATATAACATACTTTCATGCATTAATAGTTCAATTTACATATTCTAAGTACCAAATATGATGTGATATGACAGCTTAACTAATTATTATAGTTATTATCTATATAGAGTTTAATTCGAATGGAGCATACAATTTTGAGGAGCTGATTAGAAATGTATCAGCACTTTTTGCAAAATCTGTGTAATGGCGATTTTGTGCATATACAAAAGCGTGCGTGTGTTGAGCTTATCGCAACTTTTTGGATCGTTCTGCTATTAAACCTTGAAGACGGACACTAGTTTTTAAAACTAATGTAGAAGATATAATCGTATATTACATATATTCTTGTCTAATTGTATTGAAAAACAATTAATGACATCATATCATGTCAAACGGAAGGTAATGAATCTTTTAATAATGGATTACAATCTGGAAGAATCAAACTATCAAAGTCTTCGATCAATTCCATCTTCTTGGCTTCGCTTTATGATTCGCGGTCATTTAATTGAAAAAGAAATTGAAACATCACCAAATTCATAGCTAACAACATCAAACTCTCGATCGTCTTAGTTGATTAAAAAAATCAATAAAAATACTTCCTCGAAACCACTGACAATCAATAAAGTTTTTCAGCTCAACAACAACCAAGTAAGAAACTCACTGAATGAACATTCAAAAGACTTTTTGTTGTGCTTCTGTCATTTACTCTATACCGATAGGTGAGAGTATACTCAATACTTGATAATTACACGGTAGGTTTTTCCAAAATAGCTAACATCTAGTATTGAGCAGATGAATGAATCAGTAAGAAAATAGTCAAAGGCTTATCATATATTATAAAATATCGGAGGAAAGTAATGAAACAAGATATCACAATTAATACACAACCACATGAATTACTATTTGTTCTGAAGGAAAGTAATGAAACAACATTTGTCTAGATTATCTTTTTTTTCTAGTAAATATCAACGGTTCTTTCACTCCGATATAATCTTTTTAACCTTTGACTACAAAGAGAAAAACAATGATTGAATAAAGCAAAAAGATATTTCAAAAAAGCAAAAATACTATTTCGGAAAGAAAGTTTTTGTATAATGATTCAAATACCTTAGTACGTATTTCCTTCTTCTGTACAAAATGAAAGAAGTCTAAAGATTTTATATTATAGTTTCTTTATTTATATTCTTATTCTACAATCTGTCACTGTTTATACGGCAAATAATCAACAGGTGTCATGGTCACAGAATATGGTTGGTAAGTTAGTTTCGGTTTCTAATCTCGGGTCTAATAGTTGATTAGTGAATCATCTAATCATTGTTCGAAAGATTGAGTTTAAAGAATATTTTTATTTCAATTACAATGACATCAGGTATCGATTCATTATGTCAATAGAGTGAAAAACTCTGTTCATGAACTGCAAAAAGTATATATTTCTTTTGTTTTATTCTTACTTTTCGTGGAAAAGTATTGAGAGATCTTCGTTGAACCCGGGATATTGATACAAAGAAGGTCTCAATAGAATCAAATGAACTCTATTGTAAGATGCTATCCAAAATATAACATACTTGTACTAATTAAATTGCCTATTTAGTTTTGTTCATATATCAATTAGATGATAATATTGAACTAGAATTGAATGAACGAAGTAGTTTTAGAACAGAAGATCAGATCAACGTAAAATTCTGATCATCATTTACAAAGAAAGCACCTTTCTCACGATTCATACATTGATTTCGTATGAATGCTGTTGTAAGATCTTTTGAGTCTAAAAAAGAATTTTTATATTCATATATTTGTTCATAGAAATTGTGATCCAATATCAGTAAAATAGAACAAACATTAAAGATGGAGTAGATAGTTTTTTTATATTGAAGTGCTATGTTGTTCAAATACTCACAATCTCAGTACATTTCTCAGCATCTAAAATCAGCAATAATTCATTTGTGTCAGTTAGTTTTCATTGAAACTACCCTTTTGATAAAGTCATTTTTGCTCAGAGTCTTTTGCTTAATTACTTAATTAGTAACTGTCTCCATCGATTTCCTTTTTCTGAAAGACTTAAACGTCTCATCTTATAAATCAGTAGTTTCTTTTTGAGAACTTTTTTTGGTATAATGTTTTAAAATGAATGAAGGAGTCATCTATGTTGTTTTTTTCTATCTTAGGAATCGAGCCTACCATTGCCGACAAGATCGATGAAATGATCAATGTCGAAAGAGAAACACATAAAATCCCTGGTATATCACTAGCAGTACTTCAGCGGGGTAAAATCATCTTTGGTAAAGGTTACGGTTATTCAAATATTGAACATAAAGTACCTGTAAAGCTTGAAACAATTTTTCAGTCTGGTTCTATCGGCAAACAATTTACTGCGATGGCTATAATGATACTTGTAGAAAAAGAAGTCATTGATTTAGATGATAAAATTCAGAAATATTTTACTGATGCACCTATCGAATGGAATAACATTACAATTCGACATCTGTTGACTCATACATCTGGAATGGCCGGATATTCAGCTGATTTTAATCTTCATTTTGATTATACCAACGATGATATTTATAGATTAATTCAAAAGAGTCCGCTTACTTTTCAACCAGGTGAACAATGGGCCTATAGTAACTTTGGCTATGTTATGCTGGGATTCTTGATTGATCGTGTGACAAACCAATTTTATGGAGATTTTCTTCGAGAGAATGTTTTTAATCCTCTTGGAATGAACACTGCACAAATAATCAATGAAACTGAGATAGTTCCCAATCGTGCTTCTGGATACATATTAGTTAATGGTGAAATAAAAAATCATGAATGGGTATCACCAATATTTAACACATTAGCTGATGGAAGTTTGTATTTGAATATTTATGATATGGCCAAATGGGATGAAGCACTTTATACTAATCAGTTACTTAAAATGAAAACAAGTTTCGATGCAATGTGGAGTCCTGTTAAATTGAACAATAACACAACGTATCCATATGGATTTGGTTGGTGGTTACTAGAAGCGATAAATGGAATGCGCATTCTCGAACATGGTGGATCATGGCAAGGGTTTCGATCAATGATTGTTCGTGTTCCAGAGAATGAAATAACAGTTGTACTTTTTACAAACCTCAACAGTCCGACCGTTGATGTAAGACGAATCGCTCGACGTGTGTTAGAAATAAATAATCCACAACTTGTTGTCAAACCAGCCATTAATAGGATTCAATAGACTATTAAATAGAAGAGACAAGAGTATGCTCTAATGTGTGTCATTTCAAAACTTCACTGTAAAGAAAATGAAATAAATGGTTCATATTTTTTTTCTTTTCATGATAAAGATTTAGTTGCCTCGTTGGAACTATTTATTCACACATAAAGAAAATTTCCGCGTGTCCAAACACAATAAAGACGATTAATGAAACTTTCTGTCAAGATGAAATGTTTCTTTCGTTGTTTTCAGCGTATCATGTAAGCGGCTTCACCAGATCATTATAAGAAAGAAATCATTTTAGCAAGTAACAGATACATCATAATGATTGCAAAAACTTGGACTACAAGTATTTTTAAAAGAACAATGTTCTATTTTTCTGACAGAAACAAAAATAAGACTTGTAAAAATTCTTCTTTTGCCTATATCTAAAGTGAAAAAGATAATAAAATCTCGAACTTTTCGTGAAAGATTACCAATCACATACTCTACATCAATCTATCTGTATCATCAAACAAACAATGGACGAATGATCCACTGGAATTTGAATCGAAATATGATAGCGTAAAACGATGAAAAATTATGTATGTAAATATTTCTTTAGCTCTTTTGGAAGGCCAAGATATATAAAGAAAAAATAATAAAAAACATGTTTTATTATATTGTCCGAATGAAACGCTTATCTCTTTTATCAACAACACTGCAATACTAAGTGATTATATTTAAAGAACTAAAAAAATGATGTATCATAATAAATAAAAATTAACTACATCTAACTCGTTTTTTAGATCTACATCATTTTACTATTTTTTATGGATTAGGACAAAGAAATAAAGCATGATAGAAAAGAAAATGCCATGAAAATCCAAGAGTATCGTATCTCTATCTGAAAGTAACTGAAGCTCACAGCAAATGGTTGAAAATGAAAGTAATTACATTTTTTGGAACTCATCTATATTTTCGAAGAAAATAGTGAGTGTGAGTTTTAAACCTACGTTTTGCAGCTCCCCCCTTAGGTCCTAGCAATCATATGGTGCGAAACCATACATTACTGGATGTTTCCATAGCAATAGTTACCACCACCACCCCTCTCCTTCTCATCAGAGACCATTCAAATAAAGTATTGTAAAATGGAGAATAAATAATTAATAATTAACATATAAAATATTTACAATATTTAATATTTACTGTCTTTTGATTTATTTTTTTATATTCTATATTTTTAATTTTTAGTATTTAATATTTAATAATATTTAATATTTCGTTGTCAAGTCATTATTGGACAGTGACAGACTGTCATTGATACATCATTAAAAAAAAAATAGAAGTTGTGTATTGAAGATGTCTATGACAATATAAATAACTTTTTTCAGCATTACGATGTTAAATGAATCAAATAAGCTGATTGAACAGCAATATGTTAACATTTTCGAAATGATTAAATTTCATAGCGCGCGTATCAACCATAATAATTCTTATTATTCTACTTTTATTTAGTTATTTGATATTTTTTTTAAATGAACTAATTTGAAATATCTGACAATATATATTCTAAATTTATAACCAGCAGAGTTTGTGAGTTCCACATTTTGGACCATCTTGAGACAGAAGTGACAAGTTTCGAATGTGATTTATCTAGTATATATCATGTGACAACTCGTTTGCAGGCATATTATATTCACCGAAATTTTAACTTTAAATTTTGTACCATTAGAACATTTAATACGATAGAATAGAAAACCACTACATGTGTAAAAAAATATTGTTTGACAATGAATTTTTTTTTCACATAATGAAAAGAGAAAAAAGTGCATTGTTGTATAGCTTTTATTATATGATTATTTCTGAAAGTGTATTCATACCATATGAATATAATTTTATATTATAGGACTGTTATTCTGTATATAACATTCTTCGATTAAATAAGAATTCCTTTGACACCAGACCCGCCATTCAGCGGTACAATTCTATCATTCTATCCAGATATTTATTACTCAACTGCGTTCAGCACATGGATTCAATCAGTAACTCATTTGATCGGATTATTTTATTACGTACATAGCAACATGCTAATGTTATATAATATTTCTAATTATGAACGTTGATATTGTACGAAGATAAATGAACATAGAATTGTTCGATCGTATCTTAACCGTTGGATAAAACAGTTTATGTCATGTAAAAGAAAGATTGTTTTCAACATTAATGGTGAAGATGACATGCCGTACGAAAAAAGACATCGAATGTATGAGGAATAAATACAATGTTCAGTAGATTCATCTTCTAATCTAATGTTGCATCGTCAACCGCATAGAATTAATGTAGACTCAAATGACAAATTATGTCTGTCCGCACAACTGTTACTTTCGTCTCAGTTATATTCGCTCGTTATCCTAATTGTGTATTATTGTGTTGGACGAGATCAGTCGTCGATTCATTCATAATTCCCGCAGGCTTAGCAAGAAATTTCTTGCTATTAACGACTTTGTCAAGAAAGAAATTGAGCTATATTTGATGAGCATAGACTGGCATGTTCAATATGATATTGATACCGAAGCAGATGACCAAGAAGATAATGTCTTTTTTCAATCAATATTATCCTAATATAGATTGGCTTATAATAAATAAAATTTATATTTGTTTTCATTGTGAAGTTTCAGTTAAAGAGTCAATGAATAAATGCAGATATCACGAGCTAAACTAATTCTTTGAAAACGACAATTGATAGTCAGAGAAGAGATAAAAAGTCCACAACATTCGAAATCGAAGTCATTTTTGACAATAGAAAAAGATAAAATTTCTTTTATATCAAAACGAACATTGCCATGTTAATTAACGTAAAATAAAATGTCTAGTTTCATCATTTTTGGGAGTGCATTGAGAATAAAAAAATCATATCCTGAACTGCAATTCCTATTTTCACCACTTTTAAGATCTCCTTCTAACTATAATAGGGATCTACTTGAAAATCTTAGCTATTACACATGACAAAATGTTTCAGTATTGTCTATATAACGGTGAAAATTTGATCTTGACAGGTAGTTACATTCTCGAGTTATTCTACTAGCAATCATTCACTTTATATTATTTTGATATTGCTCGTAATATCGACAGAATTTATTTATTAATACAAGTTTCACGGTCTATCTATAAATTTTTTCTGTTATCTCGAAAATTTCCTAATTAACTTGTTTCAATCATGTATTCATTATTCTATCAATTTGTTTTTCAATGTAATGAATATCTTTCTCTGTGATTATCTGCAAGTATCAGTCTTTGTATGAAAACAGCATTTTTGATTTTGAACCCTTATAGGTTTTGTACGATTTATATCAACAAGCTAAATAAATTCCATAGAAACATACGAAATACAATAAAAACGGTTTTATCGAATAAATGATTGTTGAAAATATGATTTAGCTTTAAATTCAATCAAAGATACATAAATGTAGAATTCTTTTGTCAACTTTTGTAATTTCGATAAATGAATTTTCCATTCATGTTGATGATTATAATTGTCATTATATAGATATTTTATTTTGAAAAATTTTTAATAAATTAATGGATTTTTGTAAATTATCTCAGTTGGAATATTTTATCTTGATTAAGAAAATAGTCTATGTTAAATAGTAATGAATATAAGATAAATAGCTTCTATAGACTTATATTATTTATTGAACTTTCATATTCTTCTTGAAAGTTGTAAACATATCAATGAGAATTAAAAACTAATATGTCAAAGCTATTTATGCTATGTTTTTTTTCTTCGAAGAAACAAATAAAACAAATTAATTTTTTTGTTTTGTTTTGATATTATAAGATAAAAATCGTTATGTTAACAATTAAATATTAACAAAAACTTGTCAAAAGAAAAAAACCAAGTCTTAAAAAAAAAAAAAGATTTGAAAGAAGAAAATATATTATTTAAAAATAATAGAGAAGCAATTTTTAAAAAAATGATTCAATGGAAACATATTCTTTTTTCACATATCATTTGATGATATGATTAGGAATATGAAAATATTCTCAATATGTATCTGTTAGACGACGATCATCAACTTTCCCTCGATTATTTACATTAGAATAATACATGATTTATGAACTCATCTAGACAGATCATCATAGATTAAAGCAACAACTGATATTTTTTATTAATTTAATCTTTATCCCTAGTCTATGTACTCATCCAGAGAGTACTCAAAAAGTACTCACGCTAGAAAATGCCGCGAGTACTCATGAGTACTCATGGGTTTTGAGTACTCACCAGTGGTACTCGTGCTAGAGTCTGAGTATCTGAGTACGACGAATGAGTACTCATCGTGTAATATTGCGTGTTTTGTGAGTACTCCTATCTACTTTTTGTGTACTCTGCTGGTTTGTGTAAAATACTCATAAGCATATATTTTGGTTAGTACCATAGTACTACATCATTTTTTATTTATTATCAATTTATTAACAAAATATGCAGACACACGCAATGAAAATTTGAAAAAAAGACCAAATTGAGAACTAATTGCACGTTTAATATCAGCCTCATATATTTCAACGCAAAGAATACGGACATATAAACCTTCATCATTTTCGAAAAAATTAATATTTCCAGTATCTATAAAATAAAAATACGATGTTACTTATTGTTTCTTTTTTCTTTCAATAAGTCGAAAAAATCGTATTTTCATTATATGAAAATATCTAACTAGCTTCTCTGAAATGAAGACTTTTTTGTGTATATCTTAAACAGTGAGAGTTCAATAAAACACGAATTGAGGACAGTAAAACATTGAAGCAGAAAAAAATAACAAATAATTCAATGATAATGAGAAATGCGAGAGCAAATCAACGAACAATATTGCATACTATTACAAAAAAAAATGAAACAGACATTTTTAAACTCGTAACTATTTACATTCAATTGGTAATTTACAGAAAAAAAAAACAGTTCTTTGTCAGTCGTATATTCGCACATCTTATTTTAAAATCCTGATTTATTTGTTTGTAACAAAAGTCGTTAGTTCTCTTTTCTTTCGCGAGATTTCGCAATTATCTGAAAAAGTTAATTTTAATAGAAGACTTTTATCTAAATTTATGAAATACAATTAAAGCGAATTGACATTAATATGTTTAAAAAAATTCAATCTCACCCACGAAACTAACAAATGGAAATGAAAAATCGTTTTTCTTTTCGTTCTGAAAGTCACCAATTATTTTACTCGTGTAAATGACTCATCACAAAAGAATAGAGAATCTAATAAATAAGTCATTAAAATAAATTTCCTCTATTTTTTAATTTATTGCATCTTTTTCTTTGATTACGTTATTTCAATTTATTTTCTATATACTAGTGCATAAGTGTTTTGTGAAATATTCTGCGAAAAACTATCGTGAGTACTACATTGAGTACTCATATATCTGCCTACAAGTAAATCTCTAAAGAAAAACTCGTGCGAGTACTCATCAGAGTACGCGAAAAGTATACATACACGTTAAATTCCTCGAGTACTCGTACGAGTAATATGAGTACTCATGCTGGAAAGTCGTACTCGCTTGATGAGTATTTTCACTAGGGTAAATACTCAAATTCCTTGATAACGGTTGTTTATAAATAAATAATCTCTTTTAATATTATCATCATTATAATAAGATCATCATTAAGAATATATTAAAGGAAAACTATTCATATTTAATCAAGTTAATCAATAATGTCTATAGAAGTTTATTGATATTAATTCATTTTTAAAACATTTTACATTGGAAAGATTTTATTATTCGTCACTTGATTGGAATATGAATAGTTGTTTGAAATCATGGTTTAATTCATCAACCGAACCATTAGTAGAATATCATCGAAGACCAAACTATCATTGGCGTTTACAAAATGGTTTTCAAAAGTGTCTCAAATATATATAGTTATACAATAGATTAGTTGATTTTATTCTAAAGATTGTTCATAAAATGTTTTAAATTAAAATAATCTATAATAATGATTTAAAATAAGAAAATGTTTCTTTTTTAACTTATTATTTAAAAAAAAAAACGATTTAATAAAAATAATTCTTGTTAAATTAATGATTAGTCTCTCAGTATCAATTTTGGTTAATGGAGAACGAAGATGGTTGGACATGTCATTTTTTTTGTTCTAATGATTATATTGTGTGATGGACTCAATAGAAAATATTTCAAGTACATCTTATTATTAATTAAGCATTCATCTTGATTGAATGTTATAATCATAGTTAATTTCAAAAGATAATGATAAATTGAAAACTTCTTAAACATGGTTCAAATTAAAAACACATCAAGAAAAATAAGATAAACGCTTGATATCTATGTCACCTTTTAGTCTTTGTTCTCGTATCTAATGAAAAAAAAAACAAAATATGATAAGATCGAACAATTTATATTTGATATTTCTCTTACAATGAAAGGATTCATGTTTATACTAAATTAGATTAGAGATATTCGGGACGAATTAAAGCTCTTATTGGTAAACTAATAAATTAAAAATAGTAGCTGCTGATGATATGTCTGATTAAAATTTATCGTAAAACATTTATTTTTAAATTGAAAACATTTTTTCTCATGTAAATTGATAATTTAATTAACCGTACAATTCGAAAGTATCAGTTTAAAAAACTAAAAAGCAAATAATATTCGAAATTAATTAATGTAGCAGTGAGAGATTTAATATAACTCGAATGTGTTTTATTTTATCTAATGAGAAAAAAAAATCGTTCAATTGTAAGTAGATTATATCTATAAAGAATATTTTTATAGACTAAGCAAAATAATTTCTAATAAAACATGTAATGACGACAATAAATAATATATTCGATGTGGTCCAGCTGGTAAACTCCCCCCCAGAATAGAAGGCCACCCCAGAATAGAAGGCCACCCCAGAATAGAAGGCCACCCCCATTAGAAGGCCACCCCTGAGTCATATTTGCAAAAGTCACATTAGAAGGCCATGGCTTTCTAATGAATTGTTTGGATATTACATAAATATTCTGTGCTAGTTTTATAAATATCTTAGCATTTTGAGAGATCATGTATGATCTCCACCGCACTCCTGTTTGGTTTTGCTATAAATTTAAAGAGGTATGTTCAATTTCCAAAAGCTGTCAAAACAAAACAAAGTTTAATATGCCTATTTGATCGCTTCAATTCTTTTGCTTTGGTACAATTACATATCTTTTGAATACATATAAAAACTATTTTTGTTCTTTGAAGTATTTGTGGTGCCAGACATCGGATAGGTATACTAATATTTGTTGATTAAATATAATACCCATGTAGCCGATAATGGATGAATAATGGAAAATGATCCATTATTTTCCATTATTTGAAGAAAAACATGAATTAATGCATTATAATTAATTATTTTTTGACTTTTCAATGCATTTCAATGCATTATTTCTAATAATGCTGAAAATGAAGGATAATGCCTAAATTTTCAATGCATTGTAATGCATTATTATAAAAAAAAATGCATTATGATGCGTTGATAAATCAATGTATTGCAATGGATTAATTAAAAATAATGCATTATAATGCATGAAATAGGTTGCATTATCATGTAATTGCATCCATTGCATTTCTATTGTAAAATAATGCATTGCAATGCCCATTATTTCATAAAATCGGCTACATGGGTAGCATTAGCTCAAAAAGTCTAAACAAATTTCAATTTTCAGTTGTCGAGCTAGAAAAACAGAATCAGCAACTAACAAAAAAAAATTGTAATTTTTTACCATAAAAGTCCTATTAGAAGGCCACCCCTAATAGAAGGCCACCCTGAAAAGAGCGATGTGAATTTCCATAATAGAAGGCCATGGCCTTTTATTCTGGGGGGGGGGGTTTATGAAATTCGAAAGAATGAAATCAAATATAAATAATATTATTTTGGAATCACGAAATAGAATTGGTGCTAGAGCATTTACTTACATAACAACATTTGGTGAAAATATTTCAATTGATATTGATGCTCATTATATTTGTCATCATGAACGAGAATATATTTTACGTAGTTATTACATTCCATCCAATGAGAATTTTATTGAATCTGATAATTATGATACATCAAACATGAAAGTTTTTGATGAAAATGGATTTATTTTTTTCGAACGAATTTATTAATAGAGCAATGAAAATTGTTGAAGATTTATTATTAATTGTTAAAGAATATCCAAACGAAAAACCAGATACATCGATATTAGATTTAATTAATGAACAATTTTAAAAAATTTCAAATCAACAGATAAAACGTCTTGTTCAAATGGATCTTAGTTATACAGAACTTCATGAAGGTTCAGATTTAAATCAACTTTCATGTAAATATTATGAAAGAGGAGAAGAGAAGGTCATCTTCAACAATCTGATTTATCTATTGCTAATGGTTTAGGATCATTAGTTAAATAAATAGCCTCAATATATAGTCTTACAATTAAATTAAACTCGATAGTTACTAATATTGATATATTAAGTGAATATTATCGAATTGTTCGAGTTTTAACAAAAGATAATAATTCATATTTATGTAAATATGTTCTTTTAACAATTCCACTTGGTTGTTTTAAATCAAATTGAATCGTTTTTTCTTCATCATTACCACAAATGGAAAGAAGAAGCTATTCAAAAAATGGATTTTGCCTTACTTAATAAAGTTTATCTTCAATTTTCTAAGATTTTTTGGGATGAAAAATAAAAAATAATTCCTATTGTTTATACTGATCGATTTAAATTTTATTACTGTTTACCTCAATATCGTATGTTAGCATTATATATATCGACAGACAACTAGAAGAAAAAATAGATGAAGATATTGTAGACGAAATATATAATTATCTTGGTCATGTTTATTCTAATATATCTTATCCAATAAAATGGTTAATTACACGATTGGGATCTGATCAATTTTCTAAAGGTTCATATTCAAGTTTTCATCTTGATAATGATTTAGAAACTTTAAAATACTTATCTATAGAAAGACATGATGGTCATGTACATTGGACTGGATAACATACCAATTATAATGGATCTATTGATTATGTTGATAATGGATTTGAAAGTGGAATGGGTGAAACAAAAAAAATTCTCAATAAACTTCAATCATTCATATAAGATAACATAAACAATGTATGCTCTTGTAAAAGTGTTCATATTTCATATATCGAGTTTTGAAACAAAATCATATTGGATGATATATTCTCTTCTATTAATTAAAATATAGATATTTGTTTTTACAATCATTTCAAGTTATTTATTTTTATTGTTTATTTTATTTATTTTTAACTTGTTATAAATTAAAGAGATAATAGTCTCTTGGAAATCACGCGTTTAACTGTTGCCGTTTCTGATCAACCAGAAAAAATCAGAAAATCTCTTCTTCTATCTACCTAGTTTATAAAATAATATGGTCATATCTATCATTTAATAGTAGATCAACACAAACTAATATGTGTTAATTGTCATTGTATATATAGTCACCTATCGATATTTTATGAATTTGTTTTGAATTATTACGAACGGTAGTAATTATTCGCGTAAATATTGCTTGAATTTTCAGATTTTTGTAAGTTCTACTATTTATTTATTTAAAATTTTTCTATACATTATAAATGAGATAGACTTTAACAAATTTCGCATGTATCATCTGTAGACGAAATATAATCGTTAAATAATTTATCAATAATTGTCAATATGACCTATGTCATTTTATTTGAATATAATTCATCTTTTAATATCAGACTTTTTTCAGAGACTTTTTAAATAACTTGACAAGATAACTTTTTCATAAATCTGGTGTAAAACTCACTATTCATAGAATTATTTTTTTATATTTATCTTTTTCTTGTTTTCTAACAATGAAATATGTTTTAAATTTTATCGAAAAACTTTTGAAAAATCATTCTCGTATTTTCATGTTTTTATTTTAAATTTGTGAAGAGAGAAAATATCATTTGAATCCACAACATTCCCTATTCAAAGTTGATCAAGACATATTTGATTATGAACTAGTCATTGTCGACATAATTATAAACTGATTTTTTTTCGAGATTCAAAACTTATGAAATACCCTATAAGAGAACATCTCATTATCTTTAGCTCATTCCTCTCGTGTGTGTAAAAATAACTGAAAATTTTCGATGATTTAGATATCATTTGAAGAAATGAATAGAGAAGACAACTGTAACTCAATGAGCAATACTCAATTATCAGACGATCTGTAAAATGGTATGAAAAAGTGGTATTTGAATTACTTTTTGGAACACTAAAAGTTCAGAACAATTTAATTTAGAAGAAAAATTATGCCACAAGTAACATGACTATTATGCAGTTTTGAAAAAGCCTTGTACCATCTTTACACTCGTTGATACGCTATTTTAGAAGTTAAAACCTGATTCAAAACAATAATCAAAAAGTTATTCAAAGCGCTAATTCGCTGATCACAAGCTCAAAGAGAGAGAGAGAGAAGCACTTTCAAACATTGTCTGAAGAAACTCTGATAGCTGCTACAACGGGAGACCGGAATTTCGGCCCAAGGAATTTTCGGCCCAGAGCCTAACTATCTTCAGGATGACGTTAGGATGTGAGGGTGATGGTCAAAAATTCTGGGCCGAAAATTCCGTGGGCCGAAATTCCTGTAACCCGCTACAACGACAACAACAAAAAATAAAAACTTTCTATTCTGATTCTGACACATGTTTTTTTGTTGTCTTAATTGTTTTATCAAGAAGCATCACCCACTATGCAATAAATGATTCAAAAAACAGCAATGACAAAGAAAATAAGGTTTTTTTTTCTGTTAATCTTCTTGTTAAAATATGGTGATAACCACCGTTGAGTTTCATTATTTGAGATCTATTTATAAAAGAAACTGAAAGTGAAAGTGAGGCAAAACAAAAGCTATACGATGTTGAAAAATATTCAAACGAAAGTTAGGATTTTCAACGTACATAGTTGAAATAAAGCTTGTATCATCCTTAGTTGAATTGAATTGAATTGAATTGAATTGAATATGTAACAGATTGAACCATTTTGTTTTCTTATATTGAGATAAAGCAATAATATTATCTCTAACATATATTTTGTTCTTGTATCAAGATTCGAATAATTCGAATAATATTATTAAAAATAAAAACGATATATCAACATGAAAAGTTGTTGTGATACGGTCGACTGTTTTTTACAGCCTCTTTAAAGCTAATTGATATTATTTGTTTGAAGATATAATTTAAATGTATTTGCTTATTGTTCGTTGAGTTAGAATATAAAAGCAGTGGTTTATATAAAAGATTAGCAACCAATACTGTCCGTATTGTCTAGTGCGATATTTCGTTAATTGAAAGAAATGAAGTTAGATGAGGCAATGTATGTATTTATGTACGTTTATTTATTTTTTTGTTCTGACAAATAAGATTTCAGATAGCTTCTCATTTCATATTTTTTCAGGGTAAAAACTCGACCGATAGGATATTATTGTTATCTAGTCTTTAACGTATTAGATTGTTAGACTTCAACTTAAGTTAATGAGATGTATTTGTGTGTTAATGTAGGCTTTAGTTTAACAGTGAGTTGTATTGAATAGGATGAATGTCGATGAAGAGAGTAGGATGAGTATGAATCTATGTTAGTCTTATTTTCGTTGCTAGGTACACACACTAACACTTATGCCGTAAGTTGTAATGCAAAAATGTTAGTGCTATTCAATGATGTTGATGGAAAAATAGATTATAAATTTATTCATTAAAAAATGTTCAATGTTTTGTTTTAAAAAAAAGGGTCGGTGAATCAATAGGATGAGCGCTATCTTATTGTCACTATAGATATTTAATCTATTGAGAATGTGTCGGATATTGTTTTGGGCTTTAAAATCTGAATAAATCCATGAGAAAACTAATGATAGACTATTTTAAATATGATTTTTAAATAAAAAGTTTAAAATAAATTTCATAATGATAAGTTTCGATAATATATTTAATCTCATTTTATAAAACTAATGAACAGTCACTTAAGATCTTTCATTTTCTTCAATAAGTTATTTAACTTTGAAAAGAAAAAAAAACAAAACTTGTGTTTTTTATATATATTTATTTGAAAATATTTCTTAATATTCCAAATCGTTATTTTTAATTGAAAAATTCTATTTTAATAATAAAGATTTTTGAAGATAGTTATCATGTTAACAACAAAAAAAAAACAACATATAAACAAACTTTAATCATTTAATATTTTCGATTGAAGACAAATTAGAAGGAAAACATTTTCAAATATTTTAAATTAAATTTTAAATTTAAATTTTTTCAATTTTTATTTGATAGATTGTTCTCATCATTGTATAATATTCAGAATGAATATATTTACTTGAAAATGTCTTAATTAGCATCATATCCTTCATTGATGGTAAGACACCTCTTCTCAAAAACTAATTAAATAAATAAATATAGAAAAAGAGACCGTCATCTATGTTAGATATTTTAAATCTAATTTTATATGTTCTTTCTATATATATATTGATCTCAACTCTTGTGTAAGCAAACAAAAACAAGATTTTATTATTTAATTGATAATAAAATTTAAAAAAAAATGGCTGAATATAAATATAAAGTAAATGTAAATGCTCGTTTTTGAAGTTGTTTGGGAAAAACTTTTGAATAAAATTGAACATCCAGAAAAATATGTTCAAGGAATTAGTCATGTTGAAATATTAAAAAATGAAAGTGATAATCTATTAAGAATAATTCATTTTGAAAATGATAAATGGGAATGAATTAAAATAATTAATTGTTACTGATAAAACAAGTCGATTAATTGTTTATCGTTTAGTTTATCATCCTGATTTTCATTTCAAGGTGAAACGATAAATATTTCTTGATCAACAAATCAAGTTTTTCAATCGGAATTATAATATGAAATTAATTCGAAATAAAAAGATGAATATGAAAATGAATCAATTTAAGATAAACATATTGCAGAACAAACTTTACAATTAGCTGTTAATGAAATGAAAAGAATTTCAAAAGAAACTGAAATTGACTATCGAGAAATTTATAATTATATCGTCAATTTAGTTTTATTTACCTTATTCTTCAGTCATCTAGAAAATGCTTTGCATGACAATTTATTATTTTTATAAT